AAATTCTTGTTTTTAATCATAATTGCATTAAAAAATATTGCTAACGTGTGTTAAAATGAAGTCAAATATTTAATCTTATTTTTCAAATTATTATTTGTTTTGTTTATTTAATTTGAAAATAAGAATGCAACAAAAAAGTTTAACACATTAATATGATAATTTGTAAAGATTACGAACATTTTATAAAATTAAAATGTAGTCTAAACATTAAAAAATATGTAGTAAATATATTTAGTCGTGGGTAAATTACTAAATTTTCAGATTTATTAATACCTACGATTTTTATTTTTCTCAAGACTATCCCAACTTATCAGAATTTAGCAAAACTCATCCATGATGACAGAATCTGTTAGATTTTGCCATTAAATGAGTCAGTGGGTTGCAGGCGGACTTTGAATGCTTGTCTGTTTAATTATATTTACTGGACATTTTTTATTTCTTGCATCACATTTTAATTACACTTAAGGTTCTTATTCTTTACTTAGTATAATATTTGTTCCTAATAAATTTCTATGACATTCTTATCCTCAACCTTTTCATTAGTTAATACATGATGTATTTGATAACTGTTTATATTCGAAAAGTCCATTGAAATAACGTAAAACTATTTTTCCGTCATATTTTAAAATAATGAATTAATAAAAATGTACGGAAAAATATTATTCCCTCATTTTAAAGCATGTAAACAAAATGATATAAATTATCATCAAAGACGAGATATACTAATTAATGAAATGTTGAATATTAGAATTTGACGAAAGAAGTTAAGGAAATAATTGTTATTACGAGTAAAGATTGAGGAGTTTAACTGCAATTAAAATATGATATAACAAATAAAAATTATGGTGTTACTATAGCCACCCAACTTTAAATAGAACAAAAACTTAAATAAGAACCTAAAAAGAAGAAAGTAGTTCTCAAGTCACATCCACAACTTTCATTAGTGCTTCTACTTCCTCCACCATTCAATGGCGGTCGCTGCCAAAACTCTTGGACTCATCTTTAGCTATTATCACCGGATCGAAAAACCTTGTTAACCCTTCCATGAAATCCCAAAACAAACTCCAAATTATTGTACGATCACAAAAACAACAACAAACTCAACAATCGCCAAAAAAGGTCGCCAACGACCACTACACGAAGGTCAAGGTGGAGATGGTGGTTGTGAAGGAAAAGGATTAGAAGCCAACCATAATTACTTAATTAAGAGATACAGAGAAGATATGCCAAAAAGAGAGATGACTAATAATTGCCAAGGAGAAGGCTCTGATTCACCTTCACACAAGCAATTCAAGGGAAACAGCATGCAAATTATCTTTTAAAATAACTAAATAAATTGACCCATGGACAATCTTATCCGACATTTGAAATCGAATGAATCACCTTCACTTACTCTATTTGCCTCATCCCATACAAGGTCAAAATTCCAACTAAAATTTTCACCATTTTCCTTTCCTCAAAATTGAGCATTTCAAGTGCCAAAACTTTACATCAAGCCAATAAACAAGGTTTGCATCAAAGTACAATTGTCACACCGTTTAGTGTTAGAAATGGCAACTAGGCGGGTTTGGGACGGGACCCCATCCCCACTTATGTTGTTCCTAGACAAGGAACCCAATCCCCATTTATTCCCTAATTATTTTTATTTGTAATAATAGTAAATAAAAATTAAATCTAAATAATGATTGAGACACTAGGGAAAATAAGATTACATTTTCATGGATCTTCATTCTCTAATATTTATTGTATTTGTCGACCTCAAAAAATAGAAATTATTTTTTAATGTCTGTGAGATTTTTGTGCAAAGAAGAAAGAGTAAGCCCCTATTTGATGGTCATTATTGTGTAAAAATGATGTTTTAAATAGTGGTTTTTTTGAAACTGTGTAGTTAAAAAGTGAAAAAAAAAAAAAGTGTTGAGTTTACATGAAAATATTCTATGATACGAATATTTGGTTGAAAATTAGTATGAGAAATAGATTGTTTTGTTTAAAGAGAGTCAAACGGGGGCTAAGTTCATCGTTATTTTGGCTAGAAAAGAAACTTCAATTGAAAAGTGCTAAGATTTTCAAGCGTGCCAATCCAAAGTTTTGCTTTGATCTGAGACGACTTCTTAAAAACTTAAAGGTTGGATATTTAGGCTTTGAATCTTTAGATTTCTCACATTTCGATTTTCAATCCTTTATTAGTTGCACAAATTACCCTATTTGTATGCAATTTTCGGGGGCGCTGTAATCATTTTATGAGTTGTCATTCTTTCATCATTATGCTGGAAATCATGATTAAATTAAAGGTTTCATATTCTCATTGAGGTTTGTGATTTCTTGACACTTGTTATTTACATGCATGATTTTTTAATTTTTTTAATTTTTTTGCACCGATGTTCATGTTGATATGATTGTTTCAAGATTTGCACTTAAGTGACGTATATGTTCGAGGTTGAGCCCAACCCATTAATTTAGCTCTTTGGACGAAGATTCCAATTATCTATTGAACAAATAATAGGGAGTGGCTTTTCCCCTGCGTGGTGAAATTTTCTCTCCTTCCTCTGTGAAGGTTCTCTTTCGTTCCTTCCGGTGAAAGCTTTGTTCGGTGTTTTGCACTCTCGTTGGGGGGTGGGAGCTTAGGCTCCCCCCTTTTCCCCTTTCTTTTTTTCCCTTCTTTCCCCCCTTCCGTTTTTCTCACTTTTTGTTGCCTGTGGTTCCTCTGTTTTGCAGGCACCGTGTTGGGCGGGGTGGTGGTGAGGTCGGCGAGCTCTGGTGGTGGTGTTCTTGTGGGCTTTGGTCGGAGAAAGGGGCGGGCGAGGATTGGCCGGTGCGAGCGGCAGGCCTTGGTCGTTGCGACCTCAGGTGGCCGGAGTCGGCGTGGATGATGCTGCTGTTGGGGGTTTGCCGGCGTGCCTTTTTTTGGCTGGTCTTCAGCGTAGGCGAGGGTTGGGCATTGGTGGTGTGTGGTTGGTGGTTTCTTGGTTGTTGTTTGGAGGTGTGTGTTGGTTGTTTAGTTTTGTTGCTGTTGTTTCGGTTTGTGATTAGTTTATGTTGTTTGGTTTGTGTGGTTGTTTAGTCCAGGTGAAGTCTAGACA